CCAAAAAGAAAAAAATTCTACAACCAGAAGACTCTCCCCAGCCAGATTATCATTCAGAATTGAAGAAGAGATAAAGTTTCCCAGACAAACAAACATCAAAGGAGTTCATCACCATGAAGTTGGCCTTACAAGAAATATTAGAGACCTTTTTTTAAGAAGAAAAGGTCATGGGGTACCTGAGTGACTCAGTCAGTTAAGTGTCCGACTCTTGATTTTGGCTCAGGTCATGATCTTGGGTTGTGGGATTGGCCTTGTGTCAGGCTCTGCACTCTGCTTGAGATTCTCTCTCTTCTTCTCCCTCTGCCCCTCCCCCTGCTCACACATGCTCGTGCTCTAAAATAAATAAATCTTAAGGAAAAAAAAAAGAAAAGGTCATAACCAGAAGAAAATAATGAAAGAAAAAAAACTCTCACTGGTAAAAGCACACATATGGTAAAGATAGTGGGTCAATCACTTATAAAAATAGTATAAAGATTAAAAGACAAAGGCAATAAAATCAATTGTATCCACAATAATTATAGCAGGTATACCAAAATAAAAAGATGTAAAATATGACATCAAGTACATCAAACACTGAGAGAGAGGGAGTAGAAATATAGTGCTTAAAATGTTCAAACTTAAGTAACCACCAACTTAATATAAATTGCTATATATATAGGGTGTTATATATAAATCTCACGATAACCACAAACCAAAGACCTATAAGAGATAAGCAAAAAATAGAGAAAGAAATCCAAACAGAACACTAAAGAATAACATCAAAACACAAGGGAAGAGAGCAAGAGAAGGAGAAGGCAACAGAAAAGAACTACAAAAACAACAAAATGGCAATAAATACGTATCTCAATGATTACTTTAAATGGATTAAATGCTCCAATCAAAGACATAGGCTAGTTGAATGGATGAAAAAACAAGACCCATCTATATGTTGCCTACAAAAGACTCCCTTCAGACCTAAGGACACACATACTAAAAGTGAAGGATAAAAAAAAATATACCATGCAAATAGAAAAAGAAATCTGGGATAGCAATACTCATATCAGACAAAGTAGACTTTACAACAAAGACTAACAAAGAAGGGAATTACATAACAAAGGGATCAATCCAACAAAAACAATTTAAAAATTATAAACATCAATGCACCCAACATAGGAGCACCTAAATAGACAAAGCCAATATTAACAGACATAAAGGGAGAAATTGACAATAGTATAATAAGATCAGGGGACTTTAACACTCCACTTACATAAGTAGGTATCATTCAGACAAAAATCAGTAAGGAAACAGTAGCCTTAAAATTACAGGCCACCATCCCTGGTGAACATCGATGCAAAAATCCTCAACAGTATGTTAGAAAACCAAATTCAACAATACATCAAAATGATCATACACCATGATCAAGTGAGATTTATTCCAGATGTGCAATGGTGGATCAACATCCACAAATCAATCAACATGATACACCACCTTAACAAAATGAAGGATAAATATCTAATGATTATCTCAATAGATGCAGAAAAAGCACCTGACAAAATTTAACATTGATTTATGATAAAAACTCTGAAGAAAATGGTTATACAGGGAATATACCTCAGCATAATAAAGGCCATATATAACAAACTCACAGCTCACATCAATACTCAACAGTAAAAAGCTGAAAGTTTTCCTCTAAGAGCAGGACTAAGACAAGGATGCCCACGGTCATCACCTTTATTCAAAACATTACCAGGAGTCAACCCAAAATGGTTTAAAGACCTAAATGTAAGACCTGAAACAATAAAGTTAAAAGAAAACATAGTCTTATCAATTTTTTGAATCTGTCTCCTCAGCAAAGGGAAATAAAAGAAAAAATAAATAATTAGAACTGTATCAAACTAAAAAGCTTTGCACAGCAAAGGAAACCATTAAAAAATGAAAAGGCAACACACTGAATTGGAGAAGATATTTACAAATGATATACCCAATAATGAGTTAATATCCAAAATATATGAAGAACTTACACAACTCAACACCAAAAATGAAACAAAACCAAGAGTCCTATTAAAAAATGGGCAGAGGAACTGAATAGACATTTTTCCAAAGACATATAATAGATGGACAACAGATACATGGAAAGATGTTCAACATAACTAATCATCAGGGAAATGCAAGTCATAACCTCTATGAGATATTACCCTACACCCATCAAAATGGCTCTTACTGAAAAGGCAAGAAATAGCAAGTATGGGTGAGGATGTGAGGAAAAGAAAACCTTCATACACCATTGGTGGGAATGTTCACTGGTGCAGCCACTATGGAAAACAGTATGGTGGTTCCTCAACAAATAAAAAACAGAAAGCATACAATCTAGCAATTCCACTTTTGGATATTTATCTGAAGAACATGAAAATGCTAATTTGAATAGATATATGCACCCCTATGTTCAGTGCAGCATTATTTGCAATATCTAAGTGGAAGTAACCTATGTGCCCATCGAAAAATGAATGGATAAAGAGTATGTGGTATAGATACATGATGGAATATTACTTAGCCATAAAAAAGAATGAGATTTTGCCATTTGCAATAACACAGATGGACCTAGAGGGTATTACCCTAAGTGAAACAAGTCAGACAGGTAAAGACAAACACCATATGATTTCACTTACATGTGGAATCTAAAAAACAAAAGAAATGAACAAATAGACTCAGAAATTCAGCTGACCCTTGAGAAATCCAGGAGTTAGGAGTGCTGACACTCCCCCTCAGTTGAAAATCTGTATACAAATTTTGACTCCCCTAAAACTTAACTATTAGATTACTGTTGACTGGAAGGCTTACTGATAACATAAAGAGTGTAGTAACACACATTTTGTAGGCTATATGTATTATATACTATATTCTTACAATGAAGTAAGCTAGAGAAAAAACGTTAATAAGAAAATCATAAGGAAAGAAAACACATTTAGAGTACTGTACTGTATTTATTGAAAAAAGTTCATGCATAATGGACCCACGCAGTTCAGACCCATGTTGTTCAGGGGTCAACTGTACAAGAACAAAGTGGTGGTTGCCAGAGGGAAAGGTGGTGGGGGAATGGGCAAATAGATGAAAAGGTATAAACTTCCAGTTATAAAATAAATACATCACAGGCATGTTAAGTACAGCACTGGGAATATAGTCAATAATATTTTAATACTTTTGTATTAAATTGTGTGGTGATAGACTTATTGTGATCATTTTGCTATGTATATAAATGCTCACTGTATCCTATACCTCAAATATTGTATGTCAACTATACTTCAATTAAAACAACAACAACAAAGGCTTAAGTGACAAAAGAAAGAAATCAATTAACTGGACCTCACCAAAATTGGAAATATTAATGCTTCAAATGGCCCTATTAAGAAAGTGAAAAGAGTGGAAGAAAATATTTGCAAATCATCTTTCTGATGAGGATCTGGTTATTCAGGTTATATATAAAGAACTCCTACAATGCCAACAATACAAATAATTTTTAAGTGGGCAAAAGATTTGAATAAATGTTACCCCAAAGGAGACCTACAAATGGCCAATAAACACATGAAAAGATGCTCAACATTATTAGCCATCAGGGAAATGCAAATCAAAACCACAGTGAGATACCACCTCATCCCTATTAAAATGGCTATAAGAAAGAAAGATAAAATCAAGTGTTGGCAAGAATGTGAAGGAACTAGACCTCTCATACACTGTGGTGGAAATGTAAAATGGTGCAGTCACTTCAGAAAACATTCTGGAAGTTTCTCAAATAGAGTTCATCTAGCTTTCTATTAAAGGTCATCTGATTTTCTAACATAAAATCACTCTACAGCATATTAGCTAGATCTCTTTTTCTCCCAAATACCAGGATGTACTAGAAATTTAAAACAAAAGAAAATAAAAATCTCAATGTGTATAGAATAGTTTTTGTGTTTTTTTTAAATTAGAAAAGATTTAGTAAAAATACATTCAAACTCAGGCTATGGGGAACCTTTAGAATTTAAATCACTCTGGATGGTTGAGTCTTCCTTAGTTTTAAGAACTTACAAAAGGTTAACAATTATAATTCCCTCACACATCCCTGTTTGATTAAGCTGAGAAACTGGACATAGCTTGGAAACATCAAGGATATTAGTTATTCCCCTTATTAATATATCCACCCTACTTTCTTTAATTACTTCCTAACTACAGGGCCTCACAAACTTATACCTCCTGCCTAGCTTCCTGAAGAGAAGGCCCTGTTCATCTCTGGCTCAGTATTGTACCCTTAGCACCGAACATGGTCACAAGAATGATACACTGTAGTCAATGTGCTATAAGTCCTTTCTCCCTTTTAAATTGCTGTTCTAATCTTCAATGCATTTAGAAGCCACATAACTGTCTTATAAATGAGTATTCAATGAGACAATGCAGTAATATATGGGGGCTGGTTAGCTATAGATCAAATATAGGAACTGTAGTGAATACATTTCATGAATCTTTATGGCTTCTCAAGAGACAAAACTTAAATTCCCAGTTGTGCTTCATTGTCAATAGACAATCCATTATCTAAATGGGTGAAGCTGTTTTAAAGACCGATGCAGGTTTGTTCAGTAGAAGTGTAAAAAAGAACAGAAAAATGTTAATCTGAACCGTTAAAAGGTGTTAAAACCTGATGCTGAGATTTAGCAATGGAAGACTATACAATTTTAAAAGAGCATTTATTGCAGAAAAAAGCATATTCTCCATTTTAGATCACATTTTAAAAAATCATTTTAAAAAACTAAAATTATCTGTTATTAATAAAATGTCCTTTTGTGTCTGATCGCTTGTTAATCATGCTGACCAAGTTTTAGCCTATGCTGATCCAAGCCATAAGCAGCTAAGTTTGTGCCACAACTGAAATTCTGTTTTAAGCCAAATAGTGAAAAAAATCACTGTAAATATATTTAAATACTTGCAATGATAACATGACTTTACAGATTCTTTTTTTTCCTCCCTTCATATTTAAAGTTGTCACTTACCCACATTAAAAGCTGTAAATAGATTTTTTCTTGAGGGACCTAAAAAACAAAAGAAATATTTGTAAATTACACATTTTGAGTGAAATAGCACACAAAAATTAGCCATTTAAAAACATTTTCAAAAACAATCCATTATCTAAATTTTAGGTTCCAGATGAGAAATACCACTGAAATACAATTAACTTTATCAAGTATATTCTAGGTATAAAATATTCCAAATAACATCAGGATGAGTGTTTAAGGGTGATATGAATCCATTGCCACAAATTAAATAGGATAGGAAAACTAGAGTATTTTTTCAGTCAAGAACAGCCGGAGTGCAAATGTTAACAGTACTGAATTTACACCCATATTACACAGTTGATGTCATTCCACTGCTGACAGAGCAAAATAGGCAGGGTATTTATGAAAGACAGTCCCTAGTGTGTGATTTCTAAATTGCCAGGCATTAAATCCAATTCACTTGCTATTCAGCTAGGATGGAAAGAATACTGAAGCTGCTTCTCCAAACTGACACAATATGAAACACAACCAGGGGATCCTTTTGCAATGTGTATGTATATCAAATCACCAAACATACTACAATTTTATTTGTCAATTATGCATTAATAAATCTGACCAAAAATACAAGTAGTGGTAATACGTACAGAGCTACAAAGATAAGTCACTAGAACAAAACAAGGAGCACTTCTACTTGACCAGAGATGGTCATTTCTAGAGCATCATCATCTGCAGATTACTAGTTAGAACAGCTGCCACATTCTACCTATCTGTAGAATTTCACAGAGACCATAATCTCTTAAAATATGTGGCCATTAGGGGGGGCACCTGGGTGGCTCAGCTGGTTAAGTGTCAGACTCTTGGTTTCAGCTCAGGTCATGATCTCAGGGTCATGAGATCGAGCCCCATGTCAGGCTTTATGCTTAGGAGTCTGCTTGAGATTCTCTCTCCCTCTCCCTCAGCCCCTCCCACTGTGCTCCCTCCCTCTCTGTCATTCTCTCTCTCTCTCTCAATAAATAAATAAATAAATAAATAAATAAATAAATAAATAAATAAATAAATAAATAAAATCTTCTAAAAAAATATGTGGCCATTATAAATGAAAATCATTCATCCCCACTCAAGTAAAATGTTTGTGATACAAAAGCCTGCAAATTCAACAGCAAGATGTATTAGAAAACTGGAGTTCCCTATTCCATAATGTTATCAATGGAATCACAGAGTTCCAATTCTCTGGAAGTTATTTAGCATCAAAGTCTGACATCCCTTTTCAGTTACTGGTGTATGTGTAGATGCCGGGGCCTTATCATCATTAATAAAAATTGCAGATTTACATACTGATGTCATTCCAGCAAGAATGTCATTCCAGCAATGGGTAATCTGATGCATTAGAAACTTATTTAAGGGGCACCGGGGTGGCTCAGGTCATGATCCCAGGATCCTGGGATCGAGCCCCACGTCGGGCTCCCTGCTCAGCGGGGATCTTACTTCTCCCTCTCCCTCGGCCTGCTGCTCCCCCTGCTGGTGCTCTCTCTCGATATCTGTCAAATGGATAAATAAAATCTTCAAAAAAAAATAAAATAAAATAAAAAGGCTAATTCTTACAGGCCAAAAAAAAGGGGTTCTTAACTACAACTCAGGAGCATAACCTACTGACCTGTAATTTCCCTTGAATGTAAGGTAAATCTGAGTTGTGTGAAAGTCAAATGACTGCTTGTAAATGGTGTCATCGAGGCAGATATTCTTGTTATATTTGACAATATGTTATCTGACCAGTTTTGCATACTTCTCTTGCCTCCTTATCAGTTCACTCACACAAACCATTGTGCTGTTTTCATTAACTCCTGTCTTCTAATTGAAATTGTCTATTAAGAATATATTTGCTATCTATTTTTCCTTTGTTTTTATGACTAATAGAAATCAAGAAAATTCATTAGCTATATCTTAACCTAGATATCAGGGTAAGGGATATACATATTTTTTATTCCCCCCCGTCTGCCAAAATCATTAATTGTCTCTTACTCTGTAACTAAGCAATTTCCTTCTGTTAAAACTGAAATACTGGAAAATACTTTTCCTGTTATTGATAAGATGGTTATATCCCAGAGTGACTATAGTAGCTGAGATCTACTAGTAGTGTAAATAAAATACTTTTCTTAAAAAAACTAACACACACCACCCCGAATATGGGTCACATATTCTATTTCAAGTTTCTCATTCATAATTCTTTCAGTTAAGCAGTCTTTCAATTCACTAAGCACGAATCCAACTTCTAATGTGCTTGAAAATCCACTTCAGATTTGGTGATAAATTGCATGAAAACATTGTATAGTAAGTATATACCACACATTTTGTAAACCTGAAAGTTCTTCACAGCCAAAGCAATTACTAAGTGAGTAATACAAAGAGGGAGACCAGAAAGAACAGAAAAAAAAAGAACATGGTTTGGACCAAAGGTGGGAAGTAAATTATTCATTTCTATCTCATGGTTCTAGATCACTATCTTAGAATAATTTAACTCTGGAAGTCTCATTTATTTTTACCTTATACCTGTGTTTTATCTCTTGATTTATGGGCATTAAGTTTTAACTACAGAACCTACGGACTCTCAGAAGATATCCTTTATGGTAAAAATGTAGTGTGTGTCTTTTTTCAGAGAGACTCTTTGTAAATAACCGTTCAAAGTCCTATGAACCTCGCTGCCAAAATTTAACTCTCTGCAATGAGGAACATACCTTTTGGAGGAGTTTTTAGTAAGTGTGCATGAGCTCTGGATACCAAAGGCTTCAAATATAAGGATCCTGAGGAACCATTCTGAAATGCTGGTTTGGGAGGTTTTTCCTCATACTTGATGACTGTAGCATTACCAGCTGCAATAAGAGAGAAGAGTACATTTCATTTTATAGATAAATATAGCATCAATTTTCCACAACTTATTCCTTCCTTCATGAATCAGTAAGTGCTCACTAAGCACCTACAACGTGCGAGACATGTAGCTCCTATCCGCAGAGATGCAAGGTAAATGCTACATCCAGAGTGACCGTATGGAAAAAAAAGAAACAACCCAAAAAACAAAAACACAAAGTGACTATACATCCTGGCATAATCCAAGTTGATGTATCTTGTCCAGTTGAACTTTCATCCCAAATAAAAGTTGGAAGATAAATTCTATGGCCATCCCGTGCCATGTAATAAGCATGCCCAAGGTGCAGGGATGAAGAGCATCCATCTCCATGAGGACAAGGCAGATGTGTCAATAAGCTAATAATAATAATAATAAACACAGGCAGCCAGCTGTGCTACTAATGTGAGAACAATAACACACAAATTCCTTGGTAGCTACAAAGCTGAGATCTGGTTCTGCTCCTCCCCTGTTCCAGCCAGGAGGTAAAAACTCTCACATCTGCCCTGGAACAGAGGTGCCTAAGTCCCAAAGTGAACACATAAAAGCAAAGCCCACCTAAATAATGAAAAGCACCTCTGATGTGGCAGGTCAATCTTTCCTCTCTACTCACATGGGAATCCTCCCAGAAAGAAACCACAAATCGTTTCCAGGCACTAAAAGAATGACTCAACAATTTTTGGAGAAACTGTGGTGCTCGCCAACTCTGCTTAGGCTGTGCTCTGAAATTCTGAGTCCACTACAGTTAACTAGGCCAAGGGCGCTGCCGCAGAAGCAGACCTACAATATTTTCCAGGAAACCTGTCAGGATCAAAGTTAGAGGGAAAAATTAAGTGTAACAGGCCCATGAACCCTGCAAAGGGCACTTGCCATTTTGCTACAGTCTCTGATTTTGCCTCCGGTTCTTCATTAGGACCCAGGAGACAAACTTAGCACGTCAATGGACAGTGAGACTTCAGAATAAAGGACACAGCTTTAAAAAAATAATGGTGATCATTCACAACTGGTTGATTTCTATCAGAACCACAAACTGAAACCATGGAGAAACAGTTATAGCAAAGCCTGAAGTAGATGTTTGCTTACTCTTATTTCTGCTTTTGCCCAGTAATGACCAAAGCCCTTCAGCATCAAAAAACTAAGCATCAAAACAAACAAACAAAAACTAAGTGTCTTTCAGTTGCTTGAGGCAACTGTGTAGCCCGTATTTATATAGGTTCTTCCAAAATTGTGCATTTCCTCTTCACGTTTATGGCTGGCTTCCCGTTGGATTATAAAGGGAAACCAAACCTTCTATAGAATTCTTAAGATTTGTATTTGTCTTTTGGGGCAGGGAAAAGGGCAGAGGACAAGGAAAGGAACAGGGCTTGTTTCCTACACTCTGAACTCCAAATGAGAATGCATTTTCATATTATGTTTTCACTGAAGGAATTATTTGATCCATAATGAGGTCCTAGGAAATAGTGTTCCTCTGCTACGGTATAGTTAAGTGGGCTTTGTGGCTACTTTAGGAATGTAACACCATTACCATCATTTATTTCAGTGTTTAGGGCAGGGGGAGTCTACATTTTAAAATCTCAGAAGCATCAAAACCCTCATAGTGAAGGTTTGAAAAATAGTACCAGCACCAGGCGCCTGGGTGGCTCAGTTGTTAAGCGTCTGCCTTTGGCTCAGGTCATGATCCCAGGGTCCTGGGATCGAGCCCCGCATCCGGCTCCCTGCTCAGTGGGGAGCCTGCTTCTCCCTCTCCCACTCCCCCTGCTTGTGTTCCCTCTCTCGCTGTGTCTCTCTCTGTCAAATAAATAAAATCTTTAAAAAAAAAATAAAAAGGAAAAAGAAAAATAGTACTAGCATGTAAAGATCGAAACAAATGACTGCAAACCTCATTAAGTGGTATTAAAAAAAAAATTAGCAGTAATGGACCTAAGAAAAAAAAAATCAGCATTTCCTTAAAACACCATTCTAAATTCACCATTCTCTGTAACTGAATCATCTTTGAAAAAATACACTGCCCAGAAGCTTAGCTCCTATAAGGATTTTTAACATTACTGTTTGGCTTTTCCTAAGAGATTACCAGGTTACACAACACTCAAGAGTATAAACCCAGCAGTTGGTCCTTTTCTCTTCATATCCAAGGAAAAAAAAAATCCAAACAATAATACTTGGAGGGGCGCCTGGGTGCCTCAGCTGGTTAAGCATCTGCCTTCAGCTCAGGTTATGATCCCAGGACCTGGGGATCAAGCCCCATGTTGGGCTCCCTGCTCAGTAGGGAGCCTGCTTCTCCCTCTCCCTCTGCCACTCCCCCTGCTTGTGCTCACTCTCTGTCAAATAAATAAATAAAATCTAAAAAAAAAAGAAAATACTTGGAAAGTTTTCTGGTCCCTTTTCCCCATAAGAGTTCATCTTTTTATCCATGTCCCCTTGCTAACCATACAAACCACTGGCATTTTTATATCACCACAGACTCACTGGGCCAGAGGGGAAATCTACAGGTGTACTCATTCACTGCCTGGTTCCCAAGATTAATTCCCCTGCCACCAACCCAAACTGGTTTTTTTTTTTATTGTTTCTCAATGATGTTCAACTCCTAGTTCTAAGCATCCAGCTCTATTCTAATACTCAACACATAATCATAAATTTCTTCATTACCAACCTTGATTCCTTTCTTCACCTCACACTGGAAAAGGGTGAGAGTCTACTTTAGGTATAACTATGTTATAAATATAAAGACAGAAATTTTTCACTAGGTTATACTATCCTAACTCCTAGAACAGTGTTTATAGATGTCAGTTAAACCTGTAAAGACATGCTGTTATTCTCCCTGATCTACGTCAAATCACTCTACAACGAGCCATCTGTTCGTTCTTCCTGTGCCCATATAACATTTCCCATATTAGGTGAGATCAACACAGTCTTCCCTCCTACTGAGAGATTTCTGTCAGTTTCCTACCTTCTTTCCAATTCTCTTTCCCCAGAACCCAAAGACTTGGTCTTTGTCAAGCTGAAAATTACAGGGAGCTAATGTGAATGATAGTACTGAAGAGACTACTACTGTAAAATTCAACATAACTTTTTTAAGGATGGGTGGGAAAGGACTTCACGGTCTTAACAGAAGCAAAATTTTATAGAGCATATCTTTTAGGTTTTCATATAAAATGAATATTGGGTTTCAATCTGCATTTTTACTTTTGCTAAATCAAAATTTCAAAAGAAGTAAATGATATTATTAAAGTCTTAACCATGTATTCTGACAATCTGGATTTCAGTCTTACTTTTCTTGAAACTTTTTTTTTTTTTAAGATTTTATTTATTTATTCATGAGAGACAGAGAGAGAGAGGCAGAGGGAGAAGGAGGCTCCCAAGGAGCAGAGAGCCCGATGCAGGACTCGATCCCAGGACCCTGGGATCATGACCTGAGCCGAAGGCAGACACTTAATCATCTGAGCCACCCAGGCGCCCTCTTGAAACATTTTTTTAAATTCATCAGGAGCAAATAAGTCACCTATTCAGATTTTGAAAAATTGAACTGAGTTTAATTTACAGACCTAATATAAAATCGTATGATCCCAAATTCATTCATACTTTTCATTTCTCAGCTTTAAAAACAAAGGATCTGGGCGCCTGGGTGGCTCAGTCTGTGTCTCTCTCTGTCAAATAAATAAATAAAAATTAAAAATATATATATATAAAAAAAATAAAAAATAAATAAAAACAAAGGATCTTCAGTTTCCAAAGAATAGACTAAAAGGATTTTTCACTAAAGCACAAGACAAAAGTCTCACAAGGCACAATACTCCTGTCCCTTAGCTTTCTGTCACACACAGACAGGAGATGTTGTCCCGGACACAAAATGCCACTTGTCAGGCTCAGCGTAAACACTGGATCCAGCACCAGACCTATCATCAACTTCCTAACATGGGAGAGTCAAAATCCATATACAAGGATAAAATTTCTGAGTTTGACCAGGTACAATGACAGACAGACACACACACCCCCACACTCCCTCTCTCTCTCTGATCATCTACTGTACACACTTCCCACTTTTACTCTTTCCCGGTTCACTAGTGGTGGGAACAAACTATGCTGAGCTGCACACACTTTTATGACCAACAATGACCCATCTTTCAATCCCCTAAATACTCTGTTGGTGCATTGCTTTCTAGTAAACCCCACTTGAAGGATGTACTTCTCTATGAGGCATGATATCCTGAAAATATTTTTCCTGCCCTCTATTTCAGTTCCTACCATGGCAGCTGATTGGGTATCCTGATGGTATCTAAATTTTCCCTTGTCCAGAGCTATTATATCCAAATAATAAAAATAATAAACTGTTTGGAGGAAAAAGTGCCCATAATTTCAAGTAATGGAATCGAATCCATTATCTCTGAGTTCTGGTCCTGACTTGGCCACTGCCTAGCTATGAGTCCCTTCATCTCTCTCTATATAAATGAGTGGGTTTGAAAATCAAGTTTGGAAATGGTACACATGCTCTCACAGGGCCCTCACTAAACAGATATGGTACTCAGTACCTGTGAGATAATAGAAAATATATATTGGGTCTCTGCCCCCATTTCCTAGCACAGATCTCCTGAAATCCTTTTAACTTCTTTGGTGACGGGAGTATCTTTTGTTCTAATGAAGTGATTCTGTGTGGGTTCCCAGATGGGGACTAGTCACTGGGAAGACCAAGCCATGGTTAGACTCCTGGAATTTTTGGCCCCGCCCTCCATTTTCTTGAGGAGAGCAAAGGGTTAAAAATGAACTTAAGGATCAATCAGGCCCTTTTATGGAAGCCTCCATAAAAATCTCCAACTATGGAGATGGGAGAGCTTCTGAATTGGTGCATACCTGCAGAAGGGATGCACACTCTTCACCCTTCCTGCGTACCTTGCTCTATGCATCAATTCCATCTAGATGTTCACCTGTATCCTCTGCTACACCCTCTTATAATAACTTGGCATTTATTAGTAAGTAAATGTTTACTTTAGTTTTGTGTGCGGCTCTAGCATATTTATCATACCCAAGATAGGAGCCGTTGGAATCTCCCATTTACAGCTGGTTGGTGAGAAGTACAGCTGACAACCTGGACTTGTGACTGGCATCCGGAGGGGGTTGGGGCCAGTCTTGCGGGAGCGAGCCCTTAACCTGTGGGATCTGCTGCCATCTCCAGTAGATGGTGTCAGGATTGAAGACCACCCAAGAAATAGCTGGCTGTGGTAGAAACTGCCACACGTCTGGTGACCAGAGTGAAGTGTTGTGAGTGGGGTACCAGTGTGAGAGTCAAGGAGACACACAGAAGGAAGGACTGGCTTCTCCCGATATAGGAGGGAAGAGCTGTAGGTTTTTCTATTATAGTCCCACTGAAGCCACAGGCATCCTCAAAATTCTCCTCAGCACAGTGCGACAGGGGCCACGATCCCTGAGCGACCGTTTGTCTGAAGAGTCAATATGCGATATCCCACATGAGGTCGCCCAGGTCCCAGCAGCTGTAATAACAATTTAAAATCGCCCCTGTTCTGTTGCGATCCTTGGTTCTAGTGACTTCAATTATGCCAGAAAAATAGATTCTCTGGAATCCTCAGTTTCATTTCCCCATAGTCCAAGTGTGATTCAAGTGAAACAGAGTAAGAGAGATAATGGAGTCTGGAGAGAGTACAAAGAGATCCTCAGAGAAGCCTAGGCAAAAGAAATTATTTTCTTATTACAGAAGGGCTTCTCATTGTTCCAGACTTATTTGCAAACTAACATTTCATACTACCTTCTAGCATCTGGCCAGCATTAGTTTTGTTTACTGAGCTATGTATATATGCAGAGCCAACCTTCTGCTTATTCCTGGAGTTCTTTTTGTCCATCTGTATAAGGCTACCTACTGTGCCAGATCATCTGCCCACCTGACTTGAAATCAAGTCACTACTGAAGTCTACACTTCCAAATTCCAAAAGCAAAGTTACTCAACTGGGTAGTAACAAGAATGTCTCCTATATACCCCCAGAAAAACACTGCAAAAATGAAGACAAAATTAACGCCAGTCTAGATAATAGCATTTTCTTATTTAATAGTCTATTTGGATGTGCATAAGTATTAAGTGTGTGATACAGAGCCAGAGTATATCCACTGCCTCACATCCCCTTCCTTACCTATGGCAGACATCACTAGTCAAACACAAACTTTTGCTCCGACCCTGGAAGCAGCCTGAAAACCTTTCAACAATCTACTCCAGGTACTTCTGACCAACTGACCAGTGTGGGCAGGTGAGACAATACTCACTCGCCATCACCCTGCGGGTAAATAAGAGGAATCCTTCTATCAGCTTGATCACTTCAACAACTCAAACACCCACCTTCCAAACTATTAGACACCATCTTATTGTAGTGAAGGAAATCGAAGTGGTCAGAAACATTTTTGCTACAAGGATTTTTAAGATGACGTAGTACTGCCCTCCTGTTCCTCAGGTGAGGATCCTGAGGCTAAGACAGTGGAAGATCATCCACCTTCCCATGAGTTGGCAGGAACACTAGGAGGAGTCTGAGGTGAACGCCCTTTTCTATGTATCACACCAGCTAAGCCAGGGCTGGCCATGAAGTCCAAGGTCAAGAATACTCCACTTCTTTAGCTACCCTCCTGTTCTCCTAAATTCCAAAAGAGTACAAACAGCTTTAGTGTGCGTCTCTTGCATTTCCCCCCCCTCACCATCTGTCTCTCAAAAATAAACATATTTGTATGTGTGTGTGTGTGGCCAAACGGGAAGAAGGAAGCCTTTGGATTTCACATTCGGTAAGGGGGCAAAATTACACACTCACTAAAGGCTTCCTTCCACACATACACAATGGCCCTCAAACCATCAACTCTCTTCAAGACCTACAATATATATTTTTATCCAATGATCTTAAAAACTGGACTTTAGCGGAGTCTGGGAGAGCTTATGAATGAATGTTTAAACTCTATGCACGAGCACATTTGACAGAGAAGCTACTGGGCAAATACAAAGAAATGAGCAGCAAAGCAAGAACACACTCTTGAAAGGGGTTTAAATGCTTAACTCAGTATGAATCCAAACGGTTATCAAAAGATTTCCTCACATGACCCATCATTATCAGACATAGGAAAAAATTCAGTTCAAAATGATTTTCATGTCTTAAAGTAATCTTTAAAAGGTACGCATCTTTAATATCTTTGAATATAATGAGTAAAATAATCAAAGAAGTGATGTTTTAATTCCAGGAAAATATTTTTCTATACTCATACAACTATAAGCTACATACACAAAACTACTGCTTATTTAATCAGAAATGAGACCAGTCTTTAATAATGAGGTCATTTCATGTACTCGGCATGCCGACAATGCCACTGAATTATATTAAGTCTGAAAACACAGAAAATACAGAATAAAATTGATTCTATTTAGAACCATTCACAACTTATATGTAAATATGCCAGTATAACAATCAACAAATTACAAGTTATAAAAATAACAATCAAGAGATGCTAAATCAATTTATTGAATAAAATTTAAGCATGCTTACAAAGAAAACAATCAAACCAGAAATCGTCGACCTACTTCTTTTCCCAGTAAGCGTGGCTAACAAAGGAACTATACAAAGGCTGTAGGATCCCAGGACCAGCAGTGTCAGGAAGGTAGCATCATAGTGCCTCTCTGAACCAGCCGGTGGGGTGAGTGTAGAATTGATAAATATTTCTGAAGAAATATCCGTCTCTGTACAACTGCGAAATCCTCCTGGTACAGTCATTTAAAAAGATCAAAGCAATCTTAAGCAGGAAAAACTGCAGCCATGTTCACTCTCCTATCCCTCATGCTTGCTCTTAGTTGAATTAGAATGGAGGGGAAAAAAAAAAAAATCTGGAAGCTCCAAGGCACTACACAAAACAGATTAAACCAGCTAGCAAATCAAAGTAAGAAAAGACTCATTGATTTGAATGCTTAATCTGCAACAGGGACGCATCCACCGCTAGGCAGGCTCTGTGGGTATACGGTAAACCCCTTTGTTACAAGACAAAAAGGAACGGACAAAAGCACTTTACAACCTCCTTCGGAGAGTCAGACACAGTACTGAAACGGTGGCCAAGTCAACATGGCTGTCAATGGAAAAGGCTGGAGAGCGCCACCACCGAACGTGTCTGCTTCCAAGGGTCACAAATTCCATTGCTACACGGCTCTCGGAGAGCTCGCTGGTGATTCTGCTTTGGCAGTTTGTTTTTAAAATTCACACCGCAAACAGAGAAAGCTGCAAGGGAAATAACCTTAAAATAATACATGTGTGAATTCCCTTTTCAAATCCACAGGACATTCCTGGCTACATGCAAACCTTTCCTATTTTATGCCACAACTTTAAAAGTGAAACAATAAGTGGATAATAAGCCTTTTTAATTTTAAGTAACACATTTTAATATTCACAAAGTTTCCAGGACACAGCTACTTACTATCACGTGAGACAAGCTACTGCTGCTAAGTGACCTCTTGGAAATGTGCTCATTAATTCGGCCATTAATTCAAAGCCTTCTCCTCCACACAATCACACTCTCAATTCTGTCCCATGCTGGCTGAGTGCCCTTGGGCCAGCGAAAACCTCTCTGAGCCTCACTCGCTCACCTCATATACACAATCAGAGCAGTGGCAGAAGGTATTTGAGAAAGAAGAAAAAAAAAAAAAAAAGGAAGAATTTATGGCAACCTTATAATAGCGCTCCACACCCAGAGGTTCAATAACTAGGACTCCACTTTGTCCTTGTTCCAGCACTAGAAAGAAACAAATTGATCCCTCCTTAAAGCAGAGAACTTCCCTCCTTTCCACCTCATGCTTAATAATCTTATTTTATCTGGTATTCTAGTTATCCAGGTAAATATCCTCTTCAACCACCTTTTAGATAAGGGCCATTTCTTTTATATCCCATATCCCTCACAGCATCTATCGTGGTGCCCGTACCCAGCAGACACTCCACAGCTGTTCAAATTAATAAATCTGTGAGTGATGGTGTGAGGAAATTTAGAAAGGAAATGAGCAAATACTTAGACCAAATACGTCTTTCGAATGAAAAAGATAGCTCGGGGCGCCTGGGTGGCTCAGTCGTTAAGCGTCTGCCTTCGGCTCAGGTCATGATCCCAGGGTCCTGGGATCAAGCCCCGCATCGGGCTCCCTGCTCCGCAGGAAGCCTGCTTCTCCCTCTCCCACTCCCCCTGCTTGTGTTCCCTCTCTTGCTGTGTCTCTCTCTGTCAAATAAATAAATAAAATCTTAAAAAAAAAAAGAAAAAAAAGAAAAAGATAGCTCAATGAATTCACCCATTTTACACTCAGAAAACAGAATTTACCTTAACTAAAAACTTTAGAAATATTGAGTTTAAATTACTTAAAATTAGGCTTGAAGTTATACTAGTCATATTATACTGACTCTAGCATCCAAAATATAAGATTATAAAACATACATCGACAAAATATAGTCTTTTATAAAGCAAATCACACTGAAGTTCTCTCTCTTCTGATTTCCAGTTGGGTTCCAATAGCCCCTAGATTGCTTTCCTTCCTTAAACAAACCAAAAAACACCATTGCTTCAAATGATACAATTTAGAATTCTCCATGCAAAAAAAAAAAAAAAAAAAAGCCAGGTACCTTCAACACATAAATAGTTCAGTGTTTCACAGCACTGAATATGCATTCATCAAAAAAGAGTGTCATTTGAAGAATTTGCTTTTCCTGACAAACTTTTTGAGAAAGTCCACAGGAGAAGCAGTGCTCCTATTTCCCCCTAAATCACAGAATCAAAATTCTAGTAATTATTTGTAGCTCATTAGTCTTTTCTTATACCTACGGTCGCAATGATCCTAGAAGTTAGACAGAAGACCAACTTACAATTATTGCTGTAAGTGCTCAGATCACTGTGGGTGCTGGTAATAGAGGAGGTGCTTCCCGTCCTCCTCAGCGCAGAACTTTTCAAAGACGCTTTGCATTTAGGAAGTGGTCTAAGCAAATTCACTCGAGATGGCTGTGCATTTTTCGAGGATGTAGGTTTTCCTTGGGATTAAAGAAAAAAAAAGTTTCTACTTTATTTTGAAAGCTTTAAGCTTAAAAACCTCATCTCCTGCACTAACTACTGAGTCAAAATACAAACTGAATATTCAGAATCATGCAATCTTCACGTAGACGTGTTTTTTGTATTTTTGATGACTTAGAGGCAGAAGAGCTGAGGCAATGATGAGACCATCAGGATATGTGAAGGGTAGCTGTAAGCTGTAAGCTGGAGTAATTAACTCAGGTCTTGTGTAACAGAGAGACAGATCAAAACAGCCATGTGACACAGGGGCTTCGGGCAAAGTTAAGAATCAAAGCTCTGACTTCCGCTCATACTGTTGATTAAAAAGTAAACAAACTAGTCCATTCACACACTAGGCTATCACATTAAAAAAACAGATGAAAATTTAAAAGCCAAACAGAAAGAATAATTCAATTTGAGGAGGAAAAAAATTCATTTAAAAAATGCCTAATGCTTGCCACCAGGTGGCACTGGATTATTTTTTTCACCTCTTCATCTTGACTCCTTTGCCAAACTAAAATGGTCTTCAAACTTCTCTTGCTGCAAGTGTTCCCATTTAGCAATGAAATATGTATGCTTCATAATCTCTGGCACATTTGAAATCACACAGTCCTGATGCTCACACCTGCTACCTGATTATGGGCATTTCCCAAGTTCAATCCTTACAACTTTCTTCATACACCTCTCTCTTGCAGAATCTTCATTTATTTTACTCTAACCCTTACCCATTTGGATGAATCCCAAATTCTCACTTGCAGACTTACCCTCTTTCTGAATACCAATGCCACTCACATTTTAAATTCTTTGCTGAATGTTTCAATTTCGACACTTCGAAACCCTCCTCCCTTATGCTAATTATAAATCCATTTTTCCTTTTTCCCAGCCTCAAAACATCGGAATTGTCCCCACATCCCCATATAATCTAACATGAAGACTCTCAATACTAAGGGTATTACACCACTGAAAAATATGAAGAGCTGAAAAAAGAACTCACTCGAAAACGATGGTGTCCTATATCCCTAATGGCCCCATAAGTGAGTGAAGTAATATTTCTGGGAAGTGAGGCTCATCGCTTTGCAGGAGTTGAGTGATTCTGTTCATAAAATTTTCATCTTAATAAAGAAAAACGAGGGGCGCCGGGGTGGCTCAGTCAGTTAAGTGTCTGCCTTCCACTCAGGTCATGATCCCAGGATTCTGGGATCGAGCCCCGCATGAGGTAGCCGGCTGAGTGGGGAGTCTGCTTCTCCCTCTGCCCACCCCCAATCCCCACTCATCCTCTTTCTCTCGCTCATATAAATAAAATCTTTAAAAAAAAAAATTAAAGAAAAATGAGGTTAAGCTCCTTAGATCTGGCATTTAAAATCACCCACATTAAAGTTCGACCTATTTCCAGCTTTATCTTTGTACTTGTTAACTGTAAAACTCAAACTTCCAGTTATGTTTATTCGCAAAAGACGAGTTTATTCGGGAAGAGGCGAGGGCAGCGGGAAACCGGGAAGGCTGTTACAAATACAAAGTCCCCTGGAGTAAACTGCGAGCTGGAAGTATAGTGGCTTTTCATTGGCTGAGTTGTGACGGCGTCTGATTGGCTGGGTTGTGGTGGGGGGGGCGGGGAGGAGGGAGACTTCCTTCCGCCTGCCGGGATGATCAAGGAGCCTCTGCTTGCAAGTTCGTCTTTTTGTTGGTCCTGCTCCAGACGGACTGGTTGTAGGGCAGGAGAGGTCCCCCTGCCCAGCCTTCCAATTTCATTTTAGTGAGGCTTCCCATTGCTTATTTTCACACGCGGTTCTTTTACACTGGTGTGTGCTCTGCTCGCGTGAACATAGTTTCCTCTCTGACACCCGGAAGTACTATTCTAATTCATGAGGCACATCGCTTCTTTTCAAAGACCTCTTCTTCCGCTCAATCCAAATCCTACAAATCCTCTTCACCCCCTTATAGTTTGCCTCAACAACTGTATTAGACTCCTAAAGTGCTGTCCTTCCACCCTTTCCAAGTCCATCATGTTGATCCCCCGAACATGGAAAAAAAAAAAAAAAAGGTCATGACCCAGTCTAAAATTTGTGATTCCCCATTATCTATAGGATGATCTTATTTTTAATCCCCTTAATATTTAATTTTAAAGGTGTGAATGGCAGTCCTAGGACTGATTCCGATCAACCTCTCCCCCGTGATGCTTTGCCATGCTCTCATCCCTACACACACACACCCCTTACTTTTAGTTTTCCAGGCCTTTTTACTCTATTCTTCTGCTTATGTCCATCTTTGCGAATGAACTAGCCTCTTTTCCATCTAGTCCCCTATCTTGCCTGGTGAATACAAAGCTGACCGTTCTTTCAAATTCTTGCCACTCATTTGTAGCCCCTACCCCAGATCTACTGAATCACAACCTCCATTTTAACAAAATCTCCTGGTGATTCGAATACACGTAAGCATGAGAAGCACTGTTGAGAATCAGAACTTCCCTGCTCCTGCCAGGGCACCCTCCCATGTGTGCCATGGGCCACGCCCCCTTCACCACACCCACACCTGCTTCCAGGACAGCATCTGTTTCAGTAGGGCTCTCGGGCTCCTCTAAGGTTCCTGAGAACAGGAAGAGAACCTGATTCCATTCTGCCCCTCACACCCCAGCCAAGTGTCTAGCATGGAGTGAGATTTAATAAATGTTTGCGGAATGAATTTTTATTGTAAGGCCAAGAGGAAAGTGTGGGAAATGGGGAGAGGTTGGTGGAAGGGGACAAACTTTCAGCTGTGAGAAGAATAAGGTCTGGGGAACTAATGTAAAATGGTGACTATAGTTGATAAGACTGTTAGATCACTGGAATTTGCTAAGAGTTGAACTTAAATGTCCTCAAAAAAAAGAGAAATATGTGAGGTGAGGGATATGTTAATTAACTCCATAACTAAAATCATTCTATAATTTATATCAAATCACCACAATGTACACTTTAAATGTCAATTTAGATCTCAATCAAGTTGGAAAAAAATAGATGTAGAATTATACAGATGATAGTAATAGCTATTAATTTTTTTTTTCCCAAAGGCCAGGAGTAAATAAATTTTGATAATGCCTTCTCTCATCTTCACTGAAGCATTAAACACTTAATTTTTACAAGCTTATTTGTCCTTTGTTAATATTAAGGGACTCTTCAAACAGTCTCTTAACTAGATAAAAGGAGACAAATATTTGAATATCTATTACTTGCTAATTATTATAAGGACTATAAAGAAAAATGTCTCCTTTTAAACTTACATTTAGCCACCAGTTTTACTTGCTTTTGGAGGTACAGAAAAACTGATCTTTTAGAATATACAGTTACTAAATTATGGCCCCTTGACAGAAAAAAACATAATGAGTCCTCATCATCCTCGGAAACAATGAGCAAGGTTGAGCAAGTAACAGATGAGTATTTCTGGGCTACAGCCACAGTACGGTCAAGGCTAAACAAGTTTGGAAACTCAACTTGTTTTTCAGAAAGGGATGTTTCATAGCATTGTTTCTGACAGCATCGTGGGTTTACAGACACTTCTCAGTGTGCCTCAGAATTACTACAGACCTGCACCCTCTCTGATTCCAACATACAGCCAGGCACCAGAAGCAAGGTCACCCTGCCAGCTTATCTGTGATTGCCATGACCTGCCCTACCCCATTCACAAGGGAGCCCCACCCCCCCTCCACGAAATGGCAACTTGTAGTTCCTAGCAAAAGTCCTCCCCATTTGACCATCAGTCTGACTCCTGGGCATTGAGGGTACTGAACAAAGCCTCCTTCACCACAGAATTAACTCCTTTGAAACTCAGCACTGCCATTACTATTCCCAGCTCACAGATGAGAGAGCTACTTGGGTGATTAAATGGCTTCCTCGGGTCACACACCTAAGCAATAACAGTGATGCCGGGAAGTCAGGCAACCTACCACCAGCCCAGAGTTCCCTCTACTGGGCTGCAGAACAGAAGCATCAGGTGAAGGAAAGCAGCATCAGGCTGGAGGCCACCTGAGCTCCTCCTTTTAGAAGGGGGCTCGCCTAGTGCAATGGTAAACACAGTGGAGATACAACCAAGGTATTCCACTGTTCCACCAACAGTCCTCATGTTTAACTGAAGAGCAAAGTTGACCTCAAGTACCCATAATTGGACTTCATATAAAGAAGCAGTAAACCATATACATCATAACCAATAGGGAAAGTAAGACATGGCAATATTGGGCTGAAAGACTGAGTAACCTGAGAACCAAATTCTTAAATAAGGAAATCCTTATAGGACCGCTCTTACAGTTCTGAGGGGTAGTATTTACCCGTTCGCTTCACAGCATGTAACCTATCCCAGACGTAAACCATCAAGATTTAAGATCTACCTGCAGATGCATTACTGGCCTCAGTGGTTTATTTTAAGCTTATGCCGTTAGCAGAATCTTACACAGAGACAACAGATTTGTTTTGACCCTGTAATTATTACCATCTTTTGTCTAGGGAAAACATGGAAGGAATAGCATTTGCACTTAGCCTTAGATAGTAACACACAGAGAGTCTACTGAGTTTGAAGTATGGCTTCATCAACAAGCAATGTACTTGGATACCCACCTTGGAAAATCCAATTAAATGTACTTTAGTTACAGAACATCAAGGAATGCCTTGTAAAACTAAAAATCTAATAAAATGATGTATTATGTGGAAAAAATATATTAATATTACCCTCTTTTTTTAAGCTCATACTTACCTATATACTGAAAAATTCTACAAGATATACCAGAATTTTATGAGGTTGTTATGAAATGTAGCACAGTGGGACATAAAGGAACAATGAGGGAAAAAGGCAGAAATGGGCAATTTTCCCTTCACCCTTTATATGCTTTTTCCCCTTTATATGCTTATTATTCCATGTGAATTTTTTTATAATAAGCATATTTTATCATAAAAGCTAACATAAAACATCAAAACACTAATAGATACTATTAAAGTCACTGGAGTCAAATATTTAATCA